GGGTTCTGTCCCGGTTGCTCCTCTTCCAGTCCAGCTCTCTGCTGTGGCCAGGGAGTGCAGTGGAGGATGGCCCAAGTGCTTGGGCCCTGAACCTGCATGGGAGACCAGGAGAAGCACCTGGCTCCTGGCTTCAAATTGGCGTAGCTCCAGCCGTGGAGGGCATTTAGGGGGTGAACCAATGGAAGGAAGACCTTTCTCTCTGTCTCTCTCTCTCACTGTCTAAATATTTTTTTAAAAGACAGCAGCTGAAGCCTTCAGAGTAGATGAGGGATATTTTTTAGTTCAGTATTGTGATTATATTGCCACACTTGCCTTCCCTTGTGCCTGTACACATTTTACTCTTCTTTTTAAATCTTCAATAGGCATTTATAGACCTCTGTACAGTTTTCTCAATACGTACTATCTTCTGGTTCTAAATGTACTTGATATAAATAAATTAAACAACATTAACTGTGTTGCTTATTAGTAATAAGAACCTGTGATAATACTGGAATAGGAATTGAGATCTATTGATATGTATAATGTATGATTTCCTGGCTTTAAACTTTAAAAATTCTTATCAATTATCAATACATAAAATAATAAAGTTTTTTAAACTCATCTTTCTTCCTACTGATATTGATACCAAAAAGATTTATTTATTTATTTGAAAGGCAGATTACAGAGAGGCAGAGGCACAGAGAGAGGGGAGAGAGAGACATGGATCTTCCATCAAGTGGTTCATTCCCCAAAAGCCTGCAAAGGCCAGATCTGGGCCAATCTGAAGCCAGCAGCCAGGAGCTGCTTATTCCCAGTCTCCCCTGTGGGTGCAGGGGCCCAAGGACTTGGAACATCTTCAGCTGCTTTCCCAGGCCATAGCAGAGAGCTGGGTAGGAAGTAGAGCAGCCAGGACTTGAACTGGTGCCCATAAGGGAATGCAGGGACAGCAGGAGGCAGCTTTATGGACTAACCACAGAATTGCTCCTCCCCCCCATGTAATGTCTTGAATGTTAAGATCTTCAAACTAACCTGTCTCCTTTCTGAACAAAATAATTGAGAAAATGTATCCAAAAGTAAGCCATGAAAATTAAAAGACAAACATTAAATCATGGAATACAACTGATTATTACATTAAATTACTGGAAGTGCACACTTTTATAAATATAATGCTTAATCAAACATGAAAAAGGATACACATGTATGTCATATCCCTGGTATTTGATGAGAAATATTAAAATAAGAATTATCATATTTTTTTTTTGACAGGCAGAGTGGACAGTGAGAGAGAGAGACAGAGAGAAAGGTCTTCCTTTTTGCCATTGGTTCACCCTCCAATGGCCGCCACGGCCAGTGCGCTGAGGCCGGCGCACCACGCTGATCCGATGGCAGGAGCCAGGTGCTTCTCCTGGTCTCCCATGGGGTGCAGGGCCCAAGGACTTGGGCCATCCTCCACTGCACTGCTGGGCGACAGCAGAGAGCTGGCCTGGAAGAGGGGCAACTGGGACAGAATCCGGTTCCCCGAATGGGACTAGAACCCCGTGCGCCGGCGCCGCAAGGTGGAGGATTAGCCTAGTGAGTCACGGTGCCGGCCCATATTTTTCTAATGAATTCTAAATTTGAAATAACTCCTGTCAACATTTTTATATGTCAAGAGGTAACTTTTTATCATTTTTTTTTTCAGGAAACTATTGGCATTAACTTACTTGTCTCAGTAAGAGGATGTCAACATTGTGAAAAATCAGTAGAAAAACAGATGTTCAAAGAGAAGTCCATGGTTGGGAAAATTTAGTTGCCTAAAATAAAATAATAAAAACTTAGTACTTGGGACTGGTGTTGTGGTACAGCAGGTTAAGCCACCATCTGCAACATTGGCATCCCATATGGGCACTGGTTCCAGTCCCAGTTGTTCCACTTCCAATGCAGCTCCCTGCTAATACACTGGAGAAAGCAATGGAGGATGGCCCAAGTGTTTGGGTCCCTGCATGCATATGGGAGACCCAGATGAAGCTCCTGGCTCCTGGCTTCAGCTGGCCCACTCTTAGCTATTGTGGTCATTTGGGGAGTGAGCCAGAGTCTCGAAGATCTCTAACTCTGCCTTTGAAGTAAATAAATAATTTTTTATTCTTCACAAAGTGGGAAAAAGAACAATTTATTCATGATTTCATAAATTAGGTGCCAGTATTAAACTTTTCTTGATTAGTTTTCTATTTACTTCTCTTTTTTTTAAACTTTTATTTAATGAATATAAATTTCCAAAGTACAGCTTATGGATTACAATGGCTTCTCCCCCATAACGTCCCTCCCACCCACAACCCTCCCCTTATCCACTCCCTCTCCCCTTCCATTCACATCAAGATTCATTTTCGATTCTCTTTATATACAGAAGATCAGTTTAGCATACATTAAGTAAAGATTTCAACAGTTTGCTCCCACACAGAAACATAAAGTGAAAAATACTGTTTGAGTACTAGTTATAGCATTAAATCTCAATGTACAGCACACTAAGGACAGAGATCCTACATGAGGAGTAAGTGCACAGTGACTCCTGTTGTTGACTTAACCAATTGACACTCTTGTTTATGGCATCAGTAATCACCCTAGGCTCTTGTCATGAGTTGCCAAGGCTATGGAAGCCCCCTGAGTTCACCGACTCTGATCATATTTAGACAAGGCCATGGTCAAAGTGGAAGTTCTCTCCTCCCTTCAGAGAAAGGTACCTCCTTCTTTGATGACCCGTTCTTTCCACTGGGATCTCACTTGCAGAGATCTTTCATTTAGGTTTTTTTTTTTTTTTTTTTTTTTTTTTTTTTTTTTTTTTTTTTTTTTCCCCCCAGAGTGTCTTGGCTTTCCATGCCTGAAATACTCTCATGGGCTTTTCAGCCAGGTCCACATGCCTTAAGGGCTGATTCTGAGACCAGGGTGCTGTTTAGGACATCTACCATTCTATGGGTCTGCTGTGTATCTCACTTCCCATGTTGGATCATTCTCTCCCTTTTTTATTCTATCAGCTAGTATTTTCAGACACTAGTCCTGTTTATGTGATCCCTTTGGTTCTTAGTCCTATCATTATGATCAATTGTGAAAAGAAATTGATCACTGGGTCTAGTGAGATGGCATTGGTACATGCCACCTATTTACTTCTCTTTTTAAAAATATTTATTTATTTATTTATTTGAAAGAGTTACACAGAGAGAGGAGAGGCAGAGAGAGAGAGAGAGGGGTCTTCCATCCAATGGTTCACTCCCCAATTGGCAGCAACAGCCGGATCTGAATACTGGAGCTTCTTCCAGGTCTCCCACACGGGTACAGGGACCCAAAGACTTGGGCCATCTTCTACTGCTTTCCCAGGCCATAGCAGAGAGCTGGATTGGAAGTGGATCAGCAGGGACTAGAACCGGTGCCCATTTGGGATGCCCGTGCTTCAGGCCAGGGTGTTAACCCCCTGCGCCACAGCACTGGCCCCTCTATTTACTTCTTGAGGCATTTAAAACACTTTGAGAAACAAAGGGCTTTATTTTTATAAAGTTGAAAAATCAATGTTTTACAATATGCTTTTTAACCAGCTCTGTAACAGATTATTCTAGTAGGAAATACTATAGCTGATACTCATGATAATCTAAAATTTTCTCAAAGCAATATCAAAATTCTGTGCATATTTAGTTACCCAAAATATGTACCATAACATTAAAATGGGAATACAGAAAAACAAGAGGTTCTAAAGATTGTAGTGTGGGATATGGTTGTATTTAAATATAAATTTGTTTAAATTAATAAGGTATGTTGCTGGTAGATGCTTGGATTTTTCAGTAACTAGTTAAAAAAACTCAAGATATGATATGTTAGAATAGTTTTAAAAGCATATTTTGTCTTTATCTTCAGTTAATTGCAACTGGTATCTGAAATCTTAAATTAATTGGCATTACTTTCTTGATTTGATTTCTGATTTTGTTCATTTACTTAGTAAATATTATTGACCTTGCTCCATGTGCATGGCCTACAGTTATTGCAAAAGACAAAGTCTTCTCCTCAAGGGCTGCGGAATGTGTCTAATGTGATAAACAGATACTTGGCAATTATTGCATAAACTAATTGAAATTATGTATAGGCATGATATGCAAAAATGTGCAGGCTGCTCAGTGAGTGTGTAAGAAAGAAACTCTCCCAGATTTGTTGCCAGTAAACTATGACTCATTTTCAAGGTAATCATCATTCATATATATTTTAGAAGAAACTTAAAAGCCTGCAGTTTCTGCTAAAATTTAGTTTACTAGCATTTAATACTTTGTAACGGATAAAATCCCAAACGACCTCTCAACATTGAAAAACTGAAAAAGTGTTTCAGTTAAATTTAAATTCCTTTCCATATCTCTGTACTGAGGACATGAGAAAATTTAACGTGGGGTAAGTTTAGAGGAAGAATGTGCTTATATGAAGATTGCTCCCTTCCCGGCGTTGGTCACCAGAAGTCAATACTTTAAATTCCGTCTGCACACACAGTGAGCAACTATTAGACCCTTGCAGCTGTAGTGCACAGCAATAAAAAATGAGGTGGAAGAAAGCATGTTCTACAAAATAGTTAATTACCCAGGACAAGAAAAGCCTGCAGGAGTAGAAATTCTTCACAAGGGGCCATTTTCTTTACCAGTTACTGAAATGGATTTGGTGGTTGTGAGGCGAGAGTAGCGGGTTTTCACTGTGGCTAATTTCCGATGTCCTTTTTGAGCAAGGATTTCGAACTACCTCAAATAATGGAAAGGAATAAAAGCGAGCCTAAAGTAATCCCCGAAGGGCGTGAAGTGAAATTGCCCCAGACGTTGCCTTATATAGACGCTGTGACACAGTTTCCCTCGTGCAAAAAATACTCGGGGCAGATCATGACTTTCCCGCAGCTGTGCACAGAGACCTACTTTATAACACTTCAGGGAAGTGAGTGTACCCGGTCTGCAAAGGTCTTTCTGGAGCATGAAGTACCCGGCCGCTTGCTTCCAGGGGCACAGATAACTCTGGTGTTGTTTTTGCAGGTCCCTGGGGCCGGTGCATGGGAGACGAGTGTGGGCCAGGAGGCATCCAGACCAGGGCGGTGTGGTGCGCGCACGTGGAAGGGTGGACGACCCTGCACACGAACTGCAAGCAGGCCGAGCGACCCAGCAACCAGCAGAACTGCTTCAAGGTTTGCGACTGGCACAAAGACTTGTACGACTGGAGGCTGGGGCCCTGGAACCAGTGTCAGCCGGTGATCTCCAGGAGCCTGGAGAAGCCTCGTGAGTGCGTGAAGGGCGAAGAGGGCATTCAGGTGCGGGAGATCACGTGCCTGCAGAAAGACAAAGACTCGCCTGCGGACGAGACCATCTGTGAGTACTTTGAGCCCAAGCCGCTCCTGGAACAGGCTTGCCTCATTCCGTGCCAGCAAGACTGCATCGTGTCCGAGTTCTCCGCCTGGTCCGAGTGCTCCAAGACCTGCGGCAGCGGCCTGCAGCACCGCACGCGGCACGTCGTGGCGCCCCCGCAGTTCGGGGGCTCCGGCTGCCCGAACCTGACCGAGTTCCAGGTGTGCCGATCCAGCGCCTGTGACGCCGACGAGAGCACCTACAGCCTGCACGTGGGGCCCTGGAGCGCGTGCTCCACGCCCCACTCTCGACAAGCCAGACAGGCCCGGAGACGCGCCAAGAACAAAGAACGGGAGAAGGACCGGGGCAAAGGCGTGAAGGATCCAGAGGCCCGGGAGCTGATTAAGAAAAAGAGAAATCGGAACAGACAGAACAGACAAGAGAACAGATACTGGGACATTCAGATTGGATATCAGACCCGCGAGGTCACGTGTACCAACAAAACGGGGAAAGCTGCTGATATGAGGTACGTTTCTTCCAGTTACCGCACGTGGCCCTGTGCCCAGGCTGTGCGCAGTGCCCGGCGAGCTGTTGGAACACACAGGTGCGCGCAGGGGCAAGCTCCCCGCGAGCCAAGGCTTCTGAGCTCTCGTGGGTCTCCTGGTGGTGGTGCTGTTTGGCGCAAGTTTAGGCCCTGTGCGGCTGCCTTGGTTTAGATTGTCCTACCCATGTCTAGAGCATGCGGTTTTCCATGAGAAGACGCCACTGACTGAGGTCAGTGCTGTCTCTCTCGTGGAACAGAAAACCCACATGGTCTGGAGTATTGGGAGTTCAAATTCAGATACTTACTTTAGTGAATTAATAGAATAAGGCACACTTGCAATCTCTCCAAGTTTATAGCGTTTTCAGAATTACCCTATAAACAAAATGTGCTCTAAACAACAACCCAGGGAGCTATACCTAAGAATAATTTCCTTGCACATTTTATAAAACGGAATAACTCTCAGCAGAGAAGGAAAACAGGAACCAGCAGAAAAGAAGGCAAGTACAGGATATTTCACCATGAATGCGCCAGCTTAGAAAACAAGTAATTAATTGGCTGCATTTCCTAGAAGGAAATTATTTGGCAAATTATCTTTGGGAACATAATGACTGTATTATGAAAGACTAACTCATGTATGATTTATTTCTTGTGGAAAATAATATTCATTGAGGATTTAAAGGATATGGTGTTCTCTGGACATTCTAAATTTTGCTCTTGGATAAACCAGACCATCTGGGAGTGGCTGATCTGGATCATTTGCATAATTGCCTTTTCTGAAATATTTGTGCAGTTATGAGTTGGAGTGAACTGAGAGAAATTATATAGGACATCACTCAAAATTTTATGTCATAGTTGTTGTACAAATGACATTGAGAGCATCATCTACCTCATGGCAGCCTGTTCTCTTAATTAAAAACAGACGAGATCAATTTCACTAAGTCTCAGCCCATGTGTTTCTGGTGAGCAGCTGGATGGCTGTTTTTGTGGCCCCTGGAAGTCTTGGAGCAGATCAGGTTTTCCTGTTTGCTGGGGCTCGGGGGATCCTAAATAGGACTGTGTGGCAGGCGTGTTGTTTACCAATGCATCCCACTAGTTTTATATTTGCTTCACTTGTGTTATTTCACCCACTCTCATCTGGTGCTTTTGCTATAAATGGGTTTTGCTATGTATGGCTTTAGCCTGTTGGGACAGGATATAGTTTAAACCAATGAAGGAACAAAAACAAACAACTGACCCATCTAAGAGAGTAACTCTCTTTCCTTATAGCGTGGTTCTGGCTGTTATTTTTAGGATATTTGCTGCTCCCTCCCCTCTTTGTACTCATGCAATTGTATTTTATTTCAGCTGTACTGTAATTTGCTCTTTCTCTGTTCTGGTCCTATCATTCCAGCTCCGCTTGTTTTGCTAGCATTTTCGTTGGTCTTCATTTGCCAGATTCCCTACAACTCCGTGTGTGTGTATGTGTGTGCATGCATGTACACGCATGTGCACATGCCTCTGATTCTGTATCATTTACATTTTGACTGAACCCCTATTTTTTTTACGTCTTTAGTGACTTCCAGATTTTTCCTGAGGTATTACAGTTGTATTACTTTAATTGCTTCTACCAAGTAACTGAATGAGCCTCCAAGGCAACTTGAATTGTTTCCTGCTGTCACCGAGTTGGCATGCTGTAGACATTTAATTTAATGTTGACTACTCAATTAAAAATGTAATTAGGATAGCAACTACTATTGTGCACAATTTGACATTCCCATCCAGTTCCTGGAATTAAGCAAATATGCTGAAAAGGGCAATGGAAAGCACCTGATTATTTGTCAGGTGCTTATGTCCCATTAGAAATTCCATCAATAACTATTTTAGTAAAATCATAGATGTACATATTTGTTCACTTATTAGAGTATTCACTTATTAGAGTATACACTGAATGTTAAATAATCTGTTAATATTTCTTTTTAATTTGAAGTGTAATGTATGATTAAGGAAAGGAAAGTCATAATGAAGAAGTGGAAAAAAGTATTTTTGCATATCTCTTACTTAAACATGACCCCATAATATCAGGCATTGATCAAGGATATAATGATTAAATCCAATGTTTATCTTCCATCAAACTCAGAAACAATTTTATTATTTAAGAAGATAAGAGACCATTCAAGAATAGTAAAATAATCCTGTCTCAGTAGCTAACTGAACTTGAACTTAAGAATCTTGGGGAAGCCATTCAGAGGAAAATGAGAATTTTAGCACGTTTACTGCTAAAGCATCCAAGTTAAAGGTGGTCATCTTGAAGCCCACATTGTGGCACAGCTGCTAAAGTGGCCACCTGGGATGCCAGCATCCTGTGTGGGCACCAGTTCCTGTCCTGGCTGCTCTACTTCCAACGCAGCTTCCTGCAAAAGGCCTGGGAAAGACAGCAGAGGATGGCCCAAGTGCTTGGGCTCCTGCCGCCAACGTGGGAAACCAGGAAGGAGCTTCTGGTTTCAGCCTAGTTCAACCCCAGCTATCGCTGCCATCTGGGGACTGAACAGGCAGATGGAAGACCTCTTTGTGTCTCTGTCTTACCCTCTCTGACTGTAACTCCTCTGACTTTCAAATACATAAATCTAAAAAAACAAAAACAAAAAAAGTCACCTTTCCTGCCTTTCTGTTTGCAAACATAACAAAACCAATGAGAATGAAAAGCACAAATGAAGATCTGTCTATTTATTTGAAAGAGTTACAAAGAGAGGTAGAGCCAGAGAGAGAGGTCCTCCATCTGCTGGTTCACTCCCCAATTGGCTACACCCGCTGTTGCTGCACCAATCCAAAGCCAGGAGCTTCCTCTGGGTCTCCCGTGCAGGTGCAGGGGCCCAAGGACTTGGGCCATCTTCTACTGCTTTCCCAGGCCATAGTGGAGAGCTGGATCAGAAGTGGAGCAGCTGGGACTCAAGCCAGCGCTCATATGGGATGCCGGCACTTCAGGCCAGGGCTTTAACCTGCTGTGCCACAGCGCCAGCCCCGGTCCGTTCTTTTATAATAGAAAATATGGACATTCTTGAACCACAGCTGATATAGAAGAGTTGGCAATTACAGTATTCAATGATCAAGCATTAGAAGCGTTCCATGTAAAATAAAAAGACAAGGCAGCACATTGTACTGTTAGCTAACATAGATCTGTAAGTACTAAGCAATGTAGTTGACAAGAAAAATGAAAAATTGGAGAGCAAGTGGTAAAATTCAGATTCTTTTTCCAAATGCTATGATCATATACTGAAAAATTCAAGAGAATTAATTGAAATGTCTTATAAAGCAATGAAAATAGTAAGATAAACATAAAAATATCCAAAAAATCAATATATTCCTTAGATATCAACAAAAAATAGCTAAGTATTGTAGTGGAAAAAATGATTAAAATCTGCACATCCCATTTACAGTTGTAAATAAAAAATCTATAAATAAACCCAACTACAAAAATTCTACAGTTAACATCAGATTTGGAAAAGTAGAAAACTGTCTGGAACATTTAATACCAGTTATCCCTACATTGACACTGTGACATTCACAAGGGTAATATAAATAAATGTATGAGAGGCCAGAAAAATACTGTAAGATAAAAAAATAAACTAACTTCACCAGATAATTAAATGCATTCTATTCCATGGTGGTAATAATAAAAAGAACAATTCTGTGTCAAGGAGTGGTTAGTTCAAATAGAAATGGGTCACGAATAAAGATCCCCAAACTGTGTTAGGTGAAGTTGAAAGTTCATTGCTAATTTTGGAGAATAAGTACAATTTAATGACATCATTCTGGGTAGTTAGCTAGTCATCAAGAAGCAGAAAGTAAACAAATGTATCTCTTTGTCACTTGTTACATGAAAACAAGGTCTAAGTCGATTCACAATTCACGTCATAAATTCAGGAAAAGATCAAAGTATTTGATTATGTATTATGTCATTGACAAGCCAATTTCTTAGTATATAAAGAGCTCCTACAAATCAGAAGAAATGAAGAAAAAATTTAAAAGCAAAGTATAGGGGGCAAGTGATGTGGAGTAGCGGGGAAAGCTGCTGCCTGCGATGCTGGCCTCCCATATGGATTCTAGTTCATGTCCCCACTGCTCCACTTGTAATGCAGCTCCCTCCTAGTGGCTTGGGAAGAGCAACAGAGTACGGCCCAAGTGCTTGGACCCCTGTGCTTAGGCACCTGCCACCTCTAAAGAAATAGGGGCAGAACAGATAGGAGACAGTGTATGGACTCAGAGCCAAAACAAATTTATTCAAGGAAAACTAAGTTTGCAGCGGTGGCCAACTGTCGGTGTGCATATGGAGCAAGCTCATGGCAGAGAGCAAACATGTAGTTATGGGTTGGATTTATATAGCATAAGCCAGATAGGTACCATGGTGGGGACTAAGGGAGTGCCACGGGGTACAGATTTGGTACAGAGAGCATAGCTGAGCTGGCTTTTCCTGGACTTTCATACTCTGTGGACTTGTTAGTTGGAAAACAACATGGAAGGTGGGGTGGAGAAGAAAACAGGGCATGGGAACAAGCTGGCCTAAGAATGTAGGGGCTACTGGACTGGATCTACTCTCAAGCAAGGAGCCAAAATGGCTCTGAGATCTATGTCCTTGGTCTGTCACTACCCCCATGGAGACCTAGAAAGACCTGCTGGCTTCAGCCTGGTCCATCCCCAGCCATTGCAACCATCTGGAGAGTGAACCAACTAATGGAAGACTAGTCTCTCTGTTTCTTCTTCTCTGTGTGTAACTCTTTTAAATAAATAAATGTAAAAAAAAAAAAAGCAAAGGATAGGATCAGGTCATAGGAAATATGCTAATCTTTTTTTAGGAAATGTAATTAAAAAAAAAAATTCTGGGCCGGCGCTGCGGCTCACTAGGCTAATCCTCCGCCTAGCGGCGCCGGCACACCGGGTTCTAGTCCCGGTCGGGGTGCCGGATTCTGTCCTGGTTGCCCCTCTTCCAGGCCAGCTCTCTGCTGTGG